ATGTACATTTGATCATGAATATGGTTGGAATTGGGTAATTAATACCAAGTTGACCATGAGATAATAAATTTTGAGTAATTCTTTAATGGAACTCCCTAGTTCAAAACTTCAAATTGCTATGGAGGCCCATATAGCAAATTGAATCAAAATTACAACCCAATTTGATGGGAGTTTTCTATAATTTATTGAAACAAATAGGGGCCTAAACGTGATTACAGAGACTAGGAGGACATTGGTTTAATTTAACATTTCAACCTGCCAAATCTGAAATGGCTCAGTCAGTATAAATAGCGTCTCGGCAACTATGCTCTTCTTCTCTGCGCTCTAAATCTCGGATCGGATTGAAGATGGGTCGAAGGAGATCCAGCCGGGTCAATATGATCTCCATAATCTGTATCTTCTTCTTCCTCGTTTCATCTGCGCACTCTTTCTACCTCCCTGGTGTTGCTCCTCGAGATTTTCCAGCAGTATGCTTTCCTGTTCCTTGTATATTTTTTTTTTAATTTTTTTTTTTGATTACGTATTTTTATTCGAAACATTAATGATGATGATGAGGCGTTTATATCAATATAATTTCATTAATATTTGAGTGGAGTGGTGAATTATGAGGAATTGTTTGGATCTATCATAGTCGGTGAACCGTCTAAGTATGTGCACATTGTTATTCGGCACGGTCGTTCGGATCTCTGATTTAAATCATTTTGGAAGCATGTTTGTTTTTAAATGGTGTAAATTTCATCCCTCTGTCTGATATGGTGTCATTTCTAACAGTGAATATGTTCTTTTAATGTTGGCATTATGAGTGTTGCTTTTTGTGTAGTGTGGATCTTAGCTGGGTTATGATCATGAGTGTGGATTTATATGTATACATTTCTTCCTATAGCAGTTAAGGAAAAAAATATGTTTTAGAATGTACTGTAATTAGTAAGTAATGGGAGTGATCAGATCAGCAGGTGGCTTTTGAATAGGGGGAAACATGCTCATTCTTAGACTATGTATAGTTCACTACATTTAGGTTAGGTGAACTGAACAGAGAGCAATTTGTAGTTAATGTTAATGAGGTGTCCTCTGTTCTGGGTTGACTTTGTCCTTGGTTGTAAATGGTTTTTGAAATTTGTGTGCTGGACCTCTCTCTCTCTCTCTCTCTCTCTCTCTTTTTGGTCAAATAAATTACTCTGTATTTGGTTTCTTTCCTAAAGCTAACATCATATGTGTAGTTGTATGGTGGATTGGTGGCACCCCTAAATCATTTGAAACAAGTGATTAATGGAAATATAGTTCTACTTGTATAAGAGTTAACTATCTTTCTATGTCTTCCCCAGCTCTTGACTGGTGAAGATAAATATTTTTAAAATGAACTGTTATTTCCCAAGTGGTTGCATGTAATTGTCTCTCAAAATATGCCTTTTCATTGATGACAGGGTGATCTACTTTCTGTTAAAGTTAACAAGTTGTCTTCCACAAAGACTCAACTTCCATATGACTATTACTACTTGCACTACTGCAAACCTTCCAAGATTTTGAATAGTGCAGAAAACTTGGGGGAGGTCCTTCGAGGTGACCGCATAGAGAACTCAGTTTATACTGTAAGAATCTTTTGATCTGCATCTACAAAACAGCTACTTGTATGCTATGTTGTAGTGCCTTTTAAAAAAAAAAAAAAAAATATATATATATATATATATATATTGATGTGGTTTTGTTTTTTTGTGGATTACTTCACAGTTCCATATGAGACAAGAGCTGCCATGCCAGGTGGCATGTCGAGTAAAACTTGACAATGAAGCTGCTAAGAACTTTAAAGAAAAAATTGACGATGAATATAGGGTCAATATGTGAGTTTTAGTTGCTATTTTTCATTTTAGTTTTGTCCAGTATTCACATGTCTGTGGAGTTTTTTTGCTTATGTTCTTTTCCTATTCAACTCTGAGCATTGACAAATGATGGTGCAGGATTTTGGATAACCTTCCAGTTGCTGTTCTTAGACAAAGGCGTGATGTAACTCAGCCTAACACATATGAACATGGTTTCCGTGTTGGGTTCAAGGGAAACTATGCAGGGGTCAGTCACAAAACCCGAATTACTATCATTTGACTACTGATCATTCAGCATTTTCTTTAACAAATTTGTATTCACTTGCCTCTGTAGAGTAAAGTGGAGAAATATTTTATAAATAACCACTTGAGCTTTAGAGTTATGTATCACAAGGATCTTGAAACTGATACTGCTCGAATAGTAGGATTTGAAGTTACTCCAAACAGGTTATTCTTGTACCCATATCCTTTATTCTTATCTTATCCAATTATTTTCTATCTTGTTTTTCCAGCTATAAGTATGTTCTATGGTCTGATCTCCTTCATACTTTGGCTATCTGTGGACAGCATTAATCACGAGTATAAGGAGTGGGATGAGAAGAACCCCCAGGTGACAACCTGCACCCAGAAAACCAAAGATATGATTCAAGGGAGTACTATTCCCCAAGAAGTAGACACAGATAAGGAGGTTATTTTCACTTATGATGTGTCTTTCAAGGTATTACTATCACAGGGAAGTCTTATGCTTACCACTTTGAAGTTTGAACAATTATTTATTACCTCTGAGTATCTTAATTTCTCTGCACTTTTTGCCTCAGGAAAGTGACATAAAATGGGCTTCACGTTGGGATACTTACCTTCTAATGAATGATGATCAGATTCACTGGTTTTCCATTATCAATTCTCTTATGATTGTTCTCTTCCTTTCTGGTATGGTTGCCATGATTATGATGAGAACTCTCTACAAAGATATCGCAAATTACAATCAATTGGAAACACAAGATGAAGCTCAGGAAGAAACAGGATGGAAACTTGTTCATGGAGACGTGTTCAGGCCCCCTATTAATTCTGGATTACTATGTGTTTATGTTGGGACTGGTGTTCAAATATTTGCAATGACCCTTGTGACAATGATGTTTGCTGTACTGGGTTTCCTGTCACCTTCCAACCGAGGTGGGCTTATGACTGCCATGGTTCTACTGTGGGTCTTCATGGGCTTATTTGCTGGCTATTCATCATCTCGTTTATACAAAATGTTTAAGGGCACAGAATGGAAGAGGATTACCTTGAAAACTGCTTTCATGTTTCCTGGAATTCTTTTTGCTGTCTTCTTTGTACTGAATGCTCTGATCTGGGGGGAGCAATCTTCTGGAGCTGTTCCATTTGGAACTATGTTTGCTCTTGTTTGCTTATGGTTTGGTATCTCAGTTCCATTAGTGTTTGTAGGCAGTTATTTGGGTTATAAAAAGCCAGCTACGGAAGACCCTGTAAAGACAAATAAGATCCCAAGGCAAACACCTGAACAGGCATGGTACATGAAACCTGCCTTTTCTATACTTATCGGAGGCATTCTTCCTTTTGGGGCTGTTTTCATTGAGCTGTTCTTCATCTTGACATCCATATGGCTGAACCAGTTCTACTACATCTTCGGCTTCCTTTTCATAGTTTTCCTGATCTTGCTGATCACATGTGCTGAGATAACTGTTGTGCTCTGCTACTTCCAGTTGTGCAGTGAAGACTACTATTGGTGGTGGAGGGCCTATCTCACTGCCGGTTCCTCAGCTTTATACCTTTTCCTTTACTCTATTTTCTACTTCTTCACCAAGCTCGAAATTACAAAGCTGGTCTCAGGCATGTTATATTTCGGTTACATGTTGATTGCATCATATGCCTTCTTCGTTTTAACTGGGACAATTGGCTTTTATGCATGCTTCTGGTTTGTTCGTAAGATCTACTCTTCTGTGAAGATTGACTGATGTGATGGCAACAAACAATTCAATTACTAGTGTTGATACTGATGAAGTTGATTGATAAGTAGAGAAGGAAGCATTTCCACTTTGAAGGACAGAAGTGCAGATAGTCAGGTTTGCCACTTCACTGGACAGGAACTAAAGGTACCGAGAAATTGGGGTATTGCCCAGGGCGTTTTCATTTTCCAGTGCCAAAATAGGCTTGGACTGTAGGTGTTATAATTTCGTTTTGGTTTACACTATCATTATATTTCTGAACTACACTTTTGACTAGCAATTTCTTGTCTTAGGATTTGTCAACTTGTGGATTAATATAGAATTGTGCTCTTCTTTATGAATATTATTTTAGATTCCGTTTCTTAAACTACTGTCTTCAAAGGAGGATACATTTAGCTTCTGTTGATACTCAATCATGGTTTAAGCTAGCATAATTTTGATAAATGTCCAGATTAAGATTCAGACTAGCAGCTGTCTTGTAATAAAATAAATTACACGAGAAATGCAACATATGTTATCAGTAATAAATGTTTCGTTTTTGTTATAAACTGGCGCCGACCGTAGGAAGACCACCTTAAAATCAACAATCAAACTGAGCCAGACAACCCGTCTTCAGATCACATATTTTTGGGGGAACAAGCAGAGGTTGATCGCGAATCGTTATATATGAGTGGTCAAATATAGGTAGTAATTCGTTTTATTACGAGAGGCTGAAACTACAGAACTCTTGGAGTTCTCGAGAGGTAGCAAATAGATTTTAAGGAGAGTGTGTACTACATGACATTTGAGGTTCTCGGGAGGTAGCAAATAGGTTTTAAAGAAAGTATGTACTACATAATTTGAATTTTCGTTTGAGTTTATATTTGCAGAATTTTGAACCCTTTTTATGTTTATTTTATAAATAAATTGATTTATCGACTTATTTTTTCAGATTAAATTAACAATTTTTGGCAATTGAGAGATATAAATTATCATCTTTTAGTATGATTTAGATATATCAAATTTGAACATAAGTGGAAGTACAAATTGAGCGTATATTTTTAGGAGTATATGGAACATTCTTTTTGTTAGTAAAACTCTCATCATAATCTTTCTTGATCTTCAATACTAGCCTACTATGCTGCTAGGACTAGAAAAGCAATAGTTTTTAGATTGGAGTGGAGCATTATGACATTGAATCTATTTTCTCCCTAACTTCTCTTCTCGTCCCAATCTTCTTCTTTACTGCAATTTCCACTCCATTTCTCTCTTCTTTTCTACTGCAATCCTAGGTTCATTACACATTTTTCACAAAATCTCTCAACTTCTTTTCAAAATTTATGCAACAAAATCTCAATGGCAACCCTAGAAAGACTTTGTGAACTTGCGAAGATGGTCCGTTCAGGCTCAATCTTGGATGTCCAGGGGTTTCTTGCCCAAGCTCATGATCAAGCCCTAGCGGAGGAGATCATCCAGGCTTTGAAGGAGTGTGGACTTCTCCACTTCTGTTCTTTCCCATATGAAGGCTACTATGTAGAGGACGTTGCCGAGTTCTATTTGATGGCGACGGTTCAAGGAGCGGTTATCATCTCCGTCGTCAATGGCCAACGCATAGAAATCAGAGAGGCAGATATAAGGAACGCATTCAACTTGCCGGAATCTGAGTTAGATGTAGAGAACCATGGCTACGATCGGGAAGAGTTATGGAACAGAATCAGAGAAGAAGGGACATCAGAAGAAAAGACGCTAAAGCCTGAGTTTCATAGGCTTGTGTATATTGTGTGCAAATGCCTGGATTATAGAAACTGTTTTCGGACGATTGGGACGCTAATAAGCGCCATCATGCAAAAAATCAAGTTCAACTGGGCCAGGTTCATCTTTCACACACTAGTACACTTTATTACTATTGCCAAACCTCTGGTAAACAATATGTTTAAGAATTATGTTGGCTATGGCCTGTTAATTGGACACTTGCTGAAAGAGAAAGGAGTGGTGCTGAGAAATAGGAAAAATGTTGGAAATGATAGATACTTGTTCAAAGTAGTAGGGAGAAAAAGAGCCAGGACAACCTCTTCTAAACCAGTTGCAGTTGGGGCAAATGCTCAAGAAGGGTGGTCTGCTTCTAATCAACATGTTGAGATGGCCATGGGAGGTATAGATGATCCTGAACTTTTAGCTGATTTGAAAAGGGTCAAGGCCTGGAGAAGTTGGAGATTAGCTGAATATGATGCTCACTGTAAGATTGCTCTAGAGATGAAGGAAGAAGAGTTGTTTGCTCTAAACTGGTTGGGAACAAGAGGTGTTGCAGAAGCTATAAGGCTGGTAAGAATTAATGAGGTTTACTTGAATAAACTTGGTAAGAAGAGGGATCAACAAGTGGCAGCAGACAAAGGAAAAGGCAAGATGCCTGATGTTAAGAGAGAAGGAGAAGAACAAACTGAGGGGATTCTGCCAAAATTTACTGATCCTCGAGTTGAAAAACGAGAGAAGGAAATGTCAGATGAAGATGAATCCGGTATCAACAAGGTCCTAAGACTACTTGTAGATAGCCAAAACCAGTTGAAAAGCGAGACCGAAAGGACTTCAGAAAAATTGATATTAGATATGCAGCAATACTTTGATGATTTTCTGAAGAAGTATAAAGCTGAGCAGCTGGAATTTAGGAAGTTCATCCAATCTCAAAATGCAGAATTGCTGAGTGCCCTTCACCAGCAACAAAACATGATCAATGATGTGAGGGCTAAATTGGAGGATTTGAAGCCCATCCTTGAAGATATAAGGAGGCAACAACTCCAAAACTCCGGGGCAATTCAGTTCCTCTATGATGCTGCCATAAGGGGGAATGTAGCATTCATACCGGAGGAAGGAGTGAGTCAAGAGGCAGAGGAGGAAGAGTCTATCATAGAATCAACATGACTGCTTGCTTGACTTTGTTCCCTCTATTGTCGTAGTCTTTCATTTTGCTCTATTTAGGCAGTTGGAAGAGCACACTATAGCAGTTAAGTGAAGTCGTTTTGGAATGTGCTGTAATTAGTAAGTAATGGGAGTGAGTGATCAGATCAAATTACTCATTTCTTCTCGTAGTTTTTGTGAACTGCTGGATTAATAGAATGTGCTCTTCTTTATGAATGTTTTAGATTCCATTTCTTAAACTACTACTGCCTTTAAAGGAGGATACATTTCTGTTGATACTCAATCATGGTTTTAAGGTAGCAACATTTTGATAAATGTCCAGATTAAGGTTCAGATTAGCAGCTGTCTTGTAAGAAGGAAAACCAAAGAAAAACTGGATTTCTGACCACCTGAAGATTCATAATCTCATTTGCAGCAAGGGAAATTGTAAAATTATGCATAAAAAGAGACAGGAACCTTAACAACTAACAAACATGTTCTACTGAAGGGTAATGAAAGCTTTTATCTATATCTCATTTTGCTTACTAAATAAATTGAATGTATACTGATAAAAAAATATAAATAAATTGAATGTATACTGATAACAAAATATTTAATGCGTTGTTGACTTCTTGTTTGGTGCTGTTAGTAGACCGGGAAATTTCTCTCGTTAGTAAATGCATCTCCAATTGTTTAAATTTTGCACAAGATTTTAGGAAGAGAAAAAGAAAAGAAAGAAAGAAAAAAAAGAATATGACATTTTTTTTAAAAAAAAAAAAAGGAAAGCGATGGTCAAAGTCAAAGTAGGCAAATTATTCAGTGGATTAGGGATCATTTTGTAAGGTGGAAGCTACAAAATTTATTTTGTATATGGCAAGGGGTTCCATTATTCTATTAATGGGCCGGTGTATGGGCGCTGCCTTGTTATGCGCTTTTAGGTGAATACAATCTTGAGATTTTTTCCCAGAATGCGAGTAGTTATTAAAGTTTGAGATACCTGACAAAACCAGATTCCGTAAACAACATAGAGGAAGAATGAAGGGGATGGTCCTAGCTGAACCGGAGAGCCCCGAACTCCCATTGATGTTGATAACAGAACCTTCTTCAAAAAGGTCTAAAGGGTGGGCGCTTTCACCACTCAGCCATGGATGCTTAACAGGGACCCTTCAAGAGCAGCGTGTCTACCAATTTCACCATAGCGGCGTGTCCTGAACCCCCCAAAATCTTGATAGATAGAGCCAATCATTAATTGTATAAAAATACACAATTTATATATTGAATGTTCACAATTCAAATTGTAAATATACATTATGTAAATTGTATATTGGACCCGAGTCAATGGTATAATTGTTCAATTGTTATATAGGCAAAAATTTCATGTTTCGTATGTACATAATTGTTGAGTAAAATACACATAAACTCTAAACATAATACACATAATCTTAACATAATATATAATTCACATAAACTCTTAACATAATACACAAACTCATAACATAATATACATGAACTCTTAACATAATATACATAAACTTTTAACGTAATACACATAAACTCTTAGCATAATATACATAAACTCTTAACATAATACACATATACTTTTAGGGTGCACGATATAATTTGCCCTGTTGGTCAGTCGGCGGCTACTGTATTGTGCGTGGAGAATACATGCCCACTTAGGTGTTATAATTTCATTTTGGTTTACACTATCATTATATTTCTTAACTACACTTTTGACTAGCAATTTGTGTGGCAGAGATTTTCTTGTCTTAGGATTTGTCAACTTGTGGATTAATATAGAATTGTGCTCTTCTTTATGAATATTTTAGATTCCATTTCTTAAACTACTGTCTTCAAAGGGGAGGATACATTTGGTTTCTGTTGATACTCAATCATGGTTTAAGCTAGCAACATTTTGATAAATGTCCAGATTAAGATTCAGACTAGCAGCTGTCTTGTAATAAAATAAAGAACACGAGAAATGCAACAACATATGTTATCAGTAATAAATGTTTCGTTTTTGTTTTTGATAGCGTAAATTGAACCGGAGATTATGATTACACTACGAATACGTATATTTGTGAACGAGTAGAATGAAGCACTCGTAGGTCAGTCGGTTGGTCTACCAGACGACAACTGAGCAATCCGAAGCTTAATAGTATTACAAGTATCAAGTGGTTACAAGTAGTGAGTTACAATGTAATAAGTAGTGCTTGTAATCAGATGAAGATGAAGATATGAGGAGGAGACCCTCCTATTTATAATGTCTAAGTCGGTCTACGCATTTAATGTGCTTGCTGCAAGTGGATCGACGTGGCGTCTTCTCGTTGGCTGAGTCAGGCGGTCGCTCTGCAGCTATGCCTAGGTTGACAGATTGATGAGGCGGAGCCGCACTACCTGTAAGCTGTCCATCGCCGCTCTGCAAGTGCAAGTTGGACCCTAAGACTTGTCGTGTAAGTTACATTTTCGGCTCTGCAGGTTATGTCACTTTGTAGGCTGACTGGTTAGCCTACAGTAGACCGACCGGGCGGCGTTCTATCAGGGCGATTCCAAGGGTGATCCAGAAGCATCTTCTTTTGTCACGAGGCCTATCGATACGGGCCGGAAATCAAACTGGTTGGTCAGCCGGAAATCAAACAATAGTTTGATGTTGGGCCCGTATCGATAGGCCTCGTGACAAAAGAAGATGCTTTCGGATCACCCTTGGAATCGCCCTGACAGAAAGTCACCCGGCCGATCTACCGTAGGCTGACCGGTCGACTTACAAAGTGACATAGCCCGCAGAGCCGAAAACGTAACTTGCACAACAAGTCTTAGGGTCCAACTTGCACTCGCAGAGCGGCGATAGACAGCTTGCAGGTAAGACAGCTCCGCCTCATCGATCAGTCAACCTACGCATAGCTGCAGAGCGACCGCCTGACTGAGCGAACGAGAAGACGCCACGTTGATCCACTTGCAGCAGGCGCATTAAATGCGTAGACCGACTTAGACATTATAAATAGGAGGGTCTCCTCCTTATTTCTGAGATCTTCATCTTCATCTTCATGTGATTACAATTACTACTCACTACATTGTAACATATTACTTATTACTTGTAATACTACTCAGCCTCGGATCGCTCAGTCGTCGTCCGGTAGACTGACCGACTGACCTACGAGCGCTCTGTTCTACTCGTCCACAAACATACGTATTTGTAGTATAATCATAACCTCGGTTTAATTTACGCTATCCGATATTAATTCTTTATGTTTTTAATATTTGCATGATTCATACATATTTTATATCCTATATTTTAAAAAATTGTTATCATTTTAGCAAAGCTTTAAAGTATTGGTTGAATTAACTGAACTAACTTCGTAGAGTAAGAAAATTTGTAAGAAATAGTACTATTAAACAGACGAACGGGTGGATCAACAAATTTTAATTTGGCCCTTTGTGACATGTGAAATCTTTATTATGTGACAAAATTAATTAGATCAACCAACAAGTGGGAAGAAGAAACTTTAATATGTATTCACATGGACAGTTCAATTAGTTACATAAATGAAGTTTAAAAAGAAAGATTAGAAATTGAGTTTCATCAGTAGCAGAAGTTTAATTTTTATATTCAGTTGAATTATCATGATTTACATATTTACAGATGCTATGTTGGATCCGAGCATGAGGCAGTTTTGGGATAGAAGATTCAATGTACATGTGAAAGCTCTAAGGGGGCGTTTGGTTCACGGAATCTTGGATTACCTAGGTCATCTGAGTCTGGTAATGTTATATTACCTTGTTTGGTTCAAGTTATGAGATTACCAGGTAATGTTATATTACCTGAAAGCTGATGTGGCGGTAATGTTTCAAGGTAATGTGATTACCTCCATTTTTTTAGGTAATCTTAGATTACCTTGAATTATTCCAACTTTGCCCTTGTTAACTAATAATAATAATAATAATAATAATAATAATAATAATAATAATGAAATTAATATATGTTTATATAATCAAATATACATATGTGTATATTTATATATTTAGTTTTTTTTTAATATTTAAATTTTGATATACATTCATACATATAAATAAATAAATACACACACATAATATACATATATATACATATTGGTAGGGAATATCCCGGCCGACATAGTTTCACCACGACCGAGAAGCCTTTTGTCCTTTTCTCTTTGTCTTTGCAGGTAACAGGTCGGGCTCCTTGTGAAGAACCCGGTCGGGGTCCGACCGGGAGTTGCCCGAACGATGATGTCAACCACCGAGCGGGAGCCCTTTGGCGAGAGAGCTGATGAAGGGCACGTGGCGGTTCTCTACATCGACAGGCAGGGCACCCGGGAGGATGACACGTGGTGGCTACGTGGAGGACATGCCGAACGGCTGGAATCCTGTCCCCGGCAAAGCGGCTATAAATACCCACAGTAGCTACAGTGTAGGGGACTTTTGGACGATCGATAGGTTGTTGTTAGAGAATCCCGACCGCAGTCAGTCGGCACTCAGAGCAACCAAGTAGATTGTACTTAGGGCCTTTACTGTGATCAATAAAGACATTTACTTGCTTTAGTTGGTCTCGAGTTACTTCATATCGCTTACGTATAATTAGCAATATCATTTTGGCGCCGTCCGTGGGGACCCGGTGCAACAAAGCTACGTCTTGACGAGCACTCGGCCTCTTTGCAACGATGTATCCGTGGGCACACAACAACTTTGCCGACGACCAGCCGGATGCGGCGAGCTCCTCCGACCACTATGCTACCCAACAGCAGGGTCAGACGATGGACCTCAACCTCAACCTCTCACCACCGCATCCATCAAATGCATACCCGGCCGCCCAACAACCGGTGAATTACATACAACCGGGATACCCAACACCCGGTTTGCCGTATCAGCAACAGCCGATGATGTATCCCGCCCAGTATCCGTACCCGGTCCCACCTCCGCCGTATGGGTATTGGCCAGGCCAACCAATGTGCTACACTTCCCCGGTTGGTTATCCACCATATACGCCTGCTTATACAACTCCAGCCGCCGCCCCTCCAGTACACCCGACCGCACAGGTAGAGCCGCAGCGTCAGTCCGCATCCCAGGCTCGACGCTCGGCTCATTCGCGGTTGGGGTCGGGGGGTGCTGATGCGATGGAGGCACCAGCTCAGGCCGTCCAAGCGGAGGACCCTGAAGAAGTTGCCCGAGCGGTAGCTTTTGATCGTCTTCGA